CCGGTCGAGAAGTTCGAGTAATTAATTGTACGGGTGTGATGTCATTTCGGTTCGGTTTCGAATACGAAAGTTTGACATTCGATTCTAGTGTTGTGAATAAAAATGAAAAGAAATCGTACGATATCAAATCGAACCGGTCGACAACTGAGTTATCGTAAGGTTCTGAATCGACCCTCTGGTGTGAATCTTCCATTCCAAAAGGCCTGAGTTCAGCAGTGTTGCCAACTTTGTCATTAGATTAAGCGACATCTTATTTCTATTTAGCGACAGAAAGGAATTAGCGACTTTTTGGGGTCTATTTAATTAGAGTTCTTTTTTAATATTTAATATGATTTTTATCTTATGTGATTTTGCGAACGCACTTCTCAATGATAGGCTTCTTAAGATTTCTTATTTCAGGTATCTACTATCTTTTGTCTGTTCAATAACCATAAAGTTCTTGCCAATGAATTTAACATTATAATGAGTATTGTCATAGTGGATTTTTGAATGGATTACAAATATTGGACTTTACCACATTCTATCTAGTGACATTCATTTTACCCTAGCTGTGCAGGGCTGGTGTTCAAAACTGTCCTTCAGTGTCAAAGGCTGAAGTAAAGAATTCGAAAGTATAGAACAATTTAAAAACAAATTTACTCATGAAGGAGCCACGTGTCGTGAAACCATTTTATTTTTCTTTGTAAGGATAAAACGAAACAGAATAGTAAATATAAAGTAAATTAGACGACACTTTGATGTAGTTCCAATCGTTTGTTTTGTGGCTTTTAATCTTGAGGACAGGCTGTAATTTGCGACACATGGACAGAAAAATATCCTATAGTTGAAGGTTAAGAAGTCTAAATTATAGCACTGTCATATTATATTTAATGCGAAAGGTGCAATATGAATTGCTCGTTTTGTGCAAAGTATTTTTAATTGCTCGTTTTGTAGCACAGAACTTGTCTGAACTTGGAGCATTAAACTACTGGTAAGCTAAACTAATCTACAATTATAGGAAAAAATGAATCAATTCTTTTTTTTTCGATCTAGGTAATCTAAATTTAAAAAGTATAATATTTATCATCAGCTTACAGTAAAAAACTTTAATGAAAATGAGTGTTTAACAAAATAATGATTTTATGGTTCGGTTAGTAGAGCGGTTGGGTTAGCTTGGCATTACCGACGCAAGTTCGAGCCCTGTCAGATGTAAGGAATTTTTCTTATTGTTCAATCTTTGTAATAATAATTCTAACTTCTTATTTTATTAACTTCTATTATTAAGTTTGTAATTAAATGCTTGTAAAATTTTAGGCAAATTGGTACAACGCAAAAGGTACAGGTAAACTCGTAACGAACTGACGGTATAGGAAGTTTTTGGAGTTTATAACAATTTTCATTCGCAACCAAAGTTGCCTGTTCTAGAGAAACTTCTCATACGATATTACACGACATTTAAATTTGAATATAAATTTGATATTTATGTATCATTTCGTGCGTATTACAATAGTACATAAGAAGTACATAAATTAAATTTACGTAAAGTCCAAAATGTGAAATACTTTACTAAGAAATAAATTTTCACGACATCCGTGGTGGCTTGTACATTGTTTTTCATGGTGTCTTCCTTCTTCCTTCTTCGTGTTTTGTTCCTTCTCTTAGGTTTAGGGTGCGATCGCCACCCGGGTTAATCTAGTAACTAACTTTCAATTACACATTGTCTTGGGTGTTTGTAGTAATAACGATGTTTCCGATTTCCAAAACACTACTTTAGTTATTTACTTTGGAATCAGAGCGACGTATGTTATGTTGTCTAATATTTATTTACAATTTAACTATTAAATAGTTAAGTGCGTTCTTAGGCGCAAACTTAGACGCACAAAATGTTTGTGTTGTCGAAGCAGTGTTCTGTCGGACTAGTGACCTGTCGAACATGTGTTTTGTCGAAGTAGTGTTCCGTCGAATTAATGTGTAGTCGAAGTACTGTCGAGTTGAAATAGTGTTATTCGAAATTAAGAATTAGAAAGAATTAAAAATTAAGAGTTCTCAGCAATAGTTAAATCAGTAGGTAGTTTTTCGTTTTTGTTTTTTTCGTTTTCGTGTTTAAGTTTTTCGTTTTTGTTTTTTTCGTTTTCGTTTTTGTTTAATTTGAATTTATTTTAATTGGCGTTTATAATTATGGCATGCGGTGTTTGCCAGTAATTAACTGCTGTACTTAGCATTAAGCAAACTTCCCTAATTTCAGTGTAAGTAGTTGTTGGTAGGCTAATAAAAAAAAATCCGTGCGACAATCTTTTTAATTCGTTATCTAAATTTTACTTCTTTTTCTAAATTTTATATAACTTTTTTTCTAATAGTATGTGCAAGAAGTTTCAAGTAGTATAGAAACTGTCACATTCTCAGAGACAAACAAAAGATTTCTTGAGTAATTTTATGGCGAATGGTGGATTTAAATGAAATTCTTTGGGAGGTAAGCCTTTAGAGCTTGTTAATTAAAGTGAGTCCGGTCCGTTTCGCGGCTGGCCGCCGTCACCTCACTAATTGCATCTCATTTAAAAAAAGCACAGCTCCAGCAATTAACCTACATCCATTTTAATTTCTGTATACGTAACCTATTTATTGAGGTTTTGAAACTTTTTCTATAAGGTCTGCTTCTTTTTCGGTTGCTATTATGTTGAGCTATTGTGTGCCATTAAGAGCCAGCGCAAATTTAAAGGTACGCAGGGTGTAAATGTGTAGCGTTACTCTAAGGTCGGTCTCAGAGCATTGCAATTTATCCCAATTGAAATAGCATAAAATATATAGGTATTATATTGATAAATTTAAGGTAAAAAAATATTCCTCAAACTATAACAATGTGCACACAGTAGCACATTCAGCGGAACTAAAAATAATAAAGATAAATAGTATGTAGCAATTTTAATACAAAGATCGAACGCTTAGGAAAAATTATTTCGATCCGGCTGGATTCGAACCAAACTGTTCTAGCAAGACGCTGTGCCAATTAAATTATTTACGAATTTTTAAGTGCTTGTTGCAGATCTTTGGTTTTGGTTTTTAACGACTTTTTGCCGTAGCGCCATCTGTGAGAAATGTATTTCATCACTCAGCCAGGTACCTTTACAGCTACCAGCACCTGACTAGAGATATCGCTTTAATAATTGCAATTAGGTTTTATTGAATGTCAGGATGTTTCACCACCAAGATATTCAATTATTTTTTTGTGAAATTACTGCACTAGTTTATTATAATTATTAATACAAAGATTGATCACTTAGAAAAAATTCCTTCGAACCGGCTGGATTCAAACCAACGTCTTCTAGCAAACCGTGAAAGACTCTATGCCAACTTAGACACGGAACGAACCAGCGGACCTTACGAATTTTTCTATGTGCTCGTTAAAGATCTGCAACATCTTTGTTTTTGGTTTTTAACGACTTTTTTTGCCGTAACACCATCTGTGAGAAATTCACTCAGTCAGTTCCAGGTGTATATAAACTAATTAGACATAAAGTAGCAGATCTTTTAACACCGATTTAGTACAGTCTTACTCAACCTAAAAAATCGAAAGTACACATAACATTTTTTTTTTTAGATTTTGTGCTAAAGCACATACAGCTGAAAATTTGAAAATTGTAACAGTTTTACATTATTATTATTACTTATGCAAAAACCGTATAAACACAAAGGAAAATTCCTTCAATCTGACTGGACTCGAACCAGCGTCTGTTGACTGAACATGGCTACTGCTTTCCCAGCCGAGCTACGTATCCATACCCAGGGGAGTTTAAGAATTTCCCTATTTGGTTGTAGCGGAGCTTTGTATAGACGTTGCTATATCAATTACAGTATTTTATTTTTATTGAATTATCATTCATCAATTAAACTTTAATAAATAAAAAAATATTTTTTAGCTAAAGTTCACCAAATTTGCAAGAACGCGAAATCAACCTCAAACCACTCGACAATCCTGTATTAATTAGAAATCAAAACAAATTAGTGAAAAAATTACAATCGCCTAATTTTTTCTTTTCAAATTGTATCTAAAAGAGTAAAACAACCGATATATTTAATCCAACACTGCATTATTTTGAGGAGTTTATTAGTGTTCTGCTAAATGTGCTGGTATGTGTATATCTATTGCCTTGTACATTTACAAAACCATATAGAACTTCGAAAATGGATGTGTATACCGCAGTACCAAATGGCACCCTGAGAGTTATATGCAGATAAAAAACTCCAGGTCATCAAAGTGGGTGGGTTTTATTGCGGCATCAGGGTACCTCATTCCTAAAAAAATGCATCAGTTTATTATAGCGGTAATTGTGCCATATTAAATTTTTTATGTAATCAATTGAAACGACTGATTTACATAGAACAATGTGCTTTAAACAAGACTTGTAAAATACTAACAACCTCTCAGGACTGTATTACTAACATCATAGATACATAACAACTTTTGTTGCATGGTTTTTAACAATTTGTTCATTTTATTTTCGTACAAAAATAAATATATTTAAATAGATCTGTCTAAATGGTAGGTAATAACTTTGTGCAAAATGCACGACGAGGTTGGAAGCACGATGCTTGCGCGTTTGAACTACCTTAATACTAAATACAGATCTAAAATGTGTCAGACAGACAACAAAAATCGAAAAGTTTATTCTTGGTAAATTTATTATCTTTTGTAAAAAGACATGGAATTAAAGTTATTGTTTATGATGTTAGTTACTAACATCATATATATAGTCCAGCATGGTTGTTACCATTTTAAAAATAAAGGACTATAATCACACGGGTCGGAAGAATTTTTCTTTGTGTTCGATCTTATGGTGTAGTGGTAAAATTTAACTTCATAAAATAAATGAATACCATGGTAGTAAAACTCTGTAATATCGAATAAAATCATTATGCTTTACAGTTTAAACAAATTCCATTCATTTTCTTCATTTCGTCAAATTCAACAATTGGTGTCTAATAGAAATTTGATTAATTTCAGAACATCAATTTGAATTCGAATAATGGCCGTAATCAATCAAACAGACTGTTTTAATTTCAACATAAAGTTTTGGAAATTTTTGGGCATCTGGCCGTCGACAAGCTTTGGTCATTACTACAAGTACTATTCTAGAGTGTTCGTGATGACCTTTCAAATATTCTACAATTTGCTTTTTTCGCTAAATTTTTATTACTTGCCGCGGCAGTTGGATATCTTTATTGAAGAGACGATATTTTATTTTACCGAAATCGCAGTTATGTCGAAAGTTTTGACCTTTTTCTTTATGCATGATAAAATTGTCGAGATTTTTATAAAGCTGCAGAGTGATATTTTTCAACCAACGAATGAGTACGGGGTCAAAGTTATAGAGAATGCTGTGAAATTCAACGTAAGATACAGGAAAATTTTAGCTGTCGTATGTTTTATATCTAGTGTGGCACTTTTGCTGACGCCAATCATAGCGCATCTGTTAATGTCAGTGGAGTTAGTTTTACCAGTGTGTAGTTACTCGTTCTTGTCGGAAGAGATAAAGAAAAATTTTATATATCCTATTTATTGTTATCAGTGCTTTGGGATGTTTTTCCATATGTTGTACAATATGAACATAGATATATTTTTCTTGGGGGTTCTAATTTTTACAATAGCGCAGTTGGATATTCTTGCGGAAAAATTCCGTAATATAACTGATGGACACCGATTTGAAGAAACAGATGAAAGAAATGGAAATTGTAGGCATATTGGCAATGATGACAAAGAGTTAATTTCGAGATTAAACAAAGCGATTGTTCACTATGATGAAGTAAGCAAGTAAGTAATGATGATCAGAAGTCTATTCATTACTTTTTAGAACAATTTAGTTTCAAATATTTACACTTAATTGTTATTTTAGGTTCTGCGAATTGATTCAAGACACATTTAGTGTTACTCTATTTATTCAATTCAGCATGGCTTCGTGTATTATTTGCATCTGTGCATTTAGATTTATCTTGGTAAATATGTTTTTAATGAATTTCTTAAGTAGAAGTAATAGGGAATGTTATAAAAACCGTTTATTTTCAGCCTGGGTCAGTACAATACTATATCTTTCTGGTAACTTATACGAGTGTTAGGATTATCCAAATCATGGTGCCTTGCTGGTTCGGAAATCGTATTATGGACAAGGTAAATTAATTATATTATCTATAATTATATTATCTATATATATCACTATCGCCTTGAAAAGGTCCAAGTTATAACGTTTAGGAAACAAGCCTGCAGGCAGGGAATTTCACTACATAGCCGTTCGCCATATAAATGTGGAAGCGTAACTCTGCGTGCCAATCTTTGGATTATCCACAACATAGGAGTGGAATCCAAGCCTATGTCTGGTCGCCTGATGATTGAAAGAGGAAGGCGGAATTAAATCGTTTATTTCCATCGCACACTCTCCGTGATATATCCTGTAAAATACCGATAAGTAGGCAACTTTACTCCACCTATAAGCCTCTTGCCATGCTTGTCAATTAAATCCAAGGTGGCCAATTGGTATGTAGCAGAGTTATCCCAAAGGTGGCAGCAGTACTCCATACATGACCGGAATTGTGCTTGATACAGTTGAAGCAACTGTCCCGGTGTGAATAATTCCTTGAACCTTTGTGGTCAGTCTTTTAGTACTGTGTACTGAGATTATTTTAATAAGGCGTGGCCGCCGCATCGCCCCTAAAGTAGTATCTAGCACATACTTTCCTTACAATACTATTGGTCTATTCGCTCACTCTCGTAATAAAAGACCAATGTCTGTTACGCATTATGGCGAAAAAGTAATCTACTCTATTCACGGTACATATGCCGAGACGCACTTCACCGCAAAGGTTAGGCGCAGCATAACACGATACACGTAATTGGATTGTGCTACGGGCCTATAGGTAGCCATCTTATTATTATTCTATACAATTATTGTGTGAGCTTGGGTGTTGGTAGTTTTGCAATTTAACGCCTTTAAAGTTCATTTGCTTGTTATAAAAACATAAGCCTTAAGCCATAGTAGTCTAATGGTTTGACCTTTCAAGCACAGGCCATGGCTTCTAGGAATTTATGTGCGCAATTTTATTTGCAATGATTTTACCATCAGCAAAAGCTCATCGCGATGAATTCATTATTTTTTCACGATAATTTTACGACGATGTTTGCCTGAGGAGACAGCAATGTGACGTTTGAATGAGTTGATGATGATGATAAAAACATGACGTCTTGCGTGCGTATCATCACGCGAATACGCTAGATTTTTCTGTTGCCCCTGTTAAGCCTACTAAAATACTTATTAAAAGTGCACCACCAATGTTACGTATTTCAGAGCTACGAGCTTTGCCATGCATTATATTGTTGCAAATGGACGTCGAAATCCCGAATATTCAAAAGCAGCGTACGAATTTTCATGGTAAGAGCCTGTAGACCACTGACTATAACGGGAGGGAAAATGTTTTCACTGTCGTTGATAACTTTTACTTCCGTAAGTATTTCTTATTTTATTACAATCGCAATGCTATAAAATTACGTATAATTGTATAAATACAAACATTGACTTACAAATAAATGAACGACGGGTCTAATACAAAAACCACGAAAAAAATGTCCCAAGTCAACCTATTCGAAATTTAAATTGTAATGTCATCGCAGTATCGCGCTGTCAGTCGAACAAATGAAGACTAAAGCGGAGTTTGGCGCTCTGTATACGATTTTAGCGCCTTACAAGTGCGGACACTTTTTAGCGCGGACCCGACGTCCATATAATTGTAAGTCAATGAATACAAAGTAAGGAGTGACATCCAAAAAAACCGTAAAAAGTGGATATAAGAAATTAAAATAAATATCACATACGCTGCTCTGGCGGCCTACTATGAGTTTATAAGCAGCCTGCAAAGTTCCATGCAATTCACTTGACGTGGTAAAACTGAATCGCTTAAATTCGAATCTTAGAGGATGGAAAAAAATAATAGCATAAGTGACCTACACAAAGTTGAACGGGAATGGCATGACAGGAGGATGAGTTTTACTTCTTAAACGTTAATTATTGTCTCTGGCTGGCTAGCTGACATCTAACAAGAGCGAGATGGAACTACATACTAAATCATATGAAAGAAATAGACAGATGTACTTTCCTGGTGTTCATTATTAACCGATTGTGTTCAAAATGAGAATAATTATATTGTTTAATTAATTTTTATTGTTTATACTTACTACCTTGTTTTGTAATATCGGCAACGTTTCAATCATACTTTACAATTTGTCGTACGACCAAAATACATGTTATGTCTAGTCAATATCATTAAAATTAATAAGGTGAGTTTGTAATTTGATAACACAACTGGAACGTATCTTGTATTAGTAAATTTTCTTTGATTGCATTTGAAGTCAAATTTGGCACTATTTAACAGTTATTTATTATATCGATTTTCGGGCAATAAAATTATTAAAATGATTAAAATTCCATTTAAAAATTGCAATAACATTCATGCTAATAATTTATCAACGATACTCTAAAGATTGGGAACTCGAACTAAAATTTTCAAAAAAGCTCAATAGTTAATTGTATTTATTTATTGACAATTGGCTATATAGTGATAAAGATAACAAATAATTATGAAACTGAAAATATAATATAAACTTAAACGAAATTTCTAAAAAATGTAACAAAATCTAAAAAAAGTTAGTCACGGAGTAACTATGTTTGAATTGCTTATTTTTACAGATGAGACGATTTGCATGGCAAATGGCACGTCATGATACGATTTTGCTATGAAAGAAAAGGTGAACGGATTTCGAATGGGGAATGTAAACTACACGGACAGTGAATTGTTTTTGTGAGGTCGTATCGGCTTAAGCTCTAAGAGCTCATGGTAGGCCTCCTGATCCCAAAGTAACTAAATCACTATTGTTTTATGGAAATCGGAAACAGCGACGGTACCACAAATACCCAGTCCCAAGACAATAAAGTTACTTTATGTAATTGATTTTTTGGCGGTAAACAATCAGTATTTTCATAATAAGTATCACAGAGTTGAAAGCTTATAATTCCTTCAAGGCAATACTACAATAATAAAGTGTTTATGTGTCTATCTATAATTTATTTTGTTTTTATTGTTGTTACAGATATTACAAACCGCGTACTCTTTTTTCACTCTACTTTGTCACATGCGGAATCGTCTGTAATTAATTTTAAAGATTTCTCTTCTTCTTGTTCTTTTGCACTGTAAATGAAAGATGTCTCTAAGAAATGCCTTTGTTGCACAAAATTTCCATTGCTTAAACTATTTTTAAACGATATTTTAATAGCATAACAAATAGCCCTAGTAATCAAAACTAACATTGATGCAACGGTGGATAGTTCTTCAGAAGTTTTAATTTTAACAAGTCAACGTACCTTAATTACGCGACTGAAACTGAACACCAGATTGAAATTAATTTATGATTGATGAAGCTAAGATGAAATTAACGAAATTCAGATGAGAAGGCGAATTTGTTTCGAAAAGTTTCTAAATTATTTCTTCGAGCATGAGAAACGCGTGCGGCTTTTCTTGTAATGAAAGAATGGAGGACTTTATTATTTAAAGTTTCACGTTGTTAATAAATAATATACACAGTATATAAATAAATCACTTTTTGCTATTTAAGATTCATGTACGTCTAATAGTATATTTATAAAATAAATACAATTTATCTAAATAAGCACAGCATGGTTTAAAATAGCTCAAAAAGTTCCAGTCGACTAACCTCCTAAGATCCAGCAAACTACACACATCTACAGTGTCTCGGATCAAAGTATTTTTGTAAAATATTTGATTACTCTACTAAAGTTAAATAAAAACATCCATATATTTTTTTTAAATTATTTATTTAGTTACATATTTTCTATATTACGAAACTGACAAAAAAACAGGTGGTGTTAAAAAAAAATAAGTAAAAATAAAATTTTCAGTAATTGGAAAACACGTGCCTGTTCCCTAGGCATTTTTGATGTGTGTACAATGGAAAAACCGCTAAACGTACTTTAAAATGTACTAAATATACATGCTTCAGGCCCAAGCAAATATCTTAATTTTCTAGATACCTTATAGTCATAAGATTAAATAGCGCTAAATTTGAATACGATATTTTCGTTATTGATGATTATTGTTAATGTATATGATAAGGTTCTCGGGATCTCACTGTTGAATCAGTAAATTAATGACGTAAGTAAAACAATAGCGCCGAGTATAGGAAATGTTTTTTTTCCTACGCAAGAACAAACGTCACATACAAAGATCGGGGACAATAGGTCCGCTCAGCAGTTCATCTGTTAGCCGGTGGCGGTAATAAGGCGTGTTTTTGCGCTAACGCAACGGAAAACTGTAAAGAACAATACTGGTGAAATCACAATGATTCTGTATAATAAAGAAAAAACAAATCCAAACATAATAAGTACAATTTTTAAGAAAGCAGTCTATGCGTATTGCAAGAAAATAAAATTACGTTTTTGCGAATAACATTTTTCTAAATATTAATTTTAAAGAACATCCACACTGTTTAGTACAAAATGATACAACTAAAATCATTATTCAACGGGTGAAATGCAATGTATTTTAAGCAATATTTGTGCTCATAAAGATTCAACTGGTTAGTATATGCGATTTTGAGGTTACTGTAACACCTGTAAACATTCCAGCAGAACCCCGAAAACGAAACAATGATTTTGGCCGTGACTAGATAAATAAGATGTCCGAACGTGACGAGGGTCCTAGCACGGTTTTTATGGAATCTTTCAGCGGGTGTAGCGTCGCGGCCACGATCCACCTGCTTCTCTTTGTTTAGGGCTGAATACATTGTTAATGCATGTCCCAACAATCCGGTAAGGTCACGGTTTTGCGACAGTTCTCGACGTCTTGAAAGCAAATAGCGGGATTGTGCGCAATTTATAGTTAGGACGTTTTCCCTGAAAGGTTCCGGAAAAACATTTGCGTAGGCACTCATATTGTCAGCGACGTTCGAAACAAAAAGATAATATGGTTTTTACTGATCTTGTATAATATTATTTGAAATGGATTTATGTAAATCTTTTGCATAAAAATATATTTGAATAATTTAGAAAAAATTAGAAAAATATATTCGACGTAATCCAGTTTTATTAATAAAACTGGATTATGTCGAATATTTTTTCTAATACTAATTAGTTACACTTTAAATAGAGTAAACTAAATTATTTTACTCTAAATACGAAGATATTTCATTCGGAGAATGCTTCTCGCTTTCGTTCGATCGAGATCTGAACTTATTATGCTTAATTTTACTATAATTATAGTTAAAGACAATTTAGAATATACCTTAGGTAAAAGAATTATGGTATCAACGCAAAAAATTGTCAATTTTGAGGGGCGAAACTACTTATGTTCAATTATTAGAAGATAGACATTGTCGTAAAGCTAGTTAGTTGTTAATTTTATTATTTATTTGTTATTGGCAAATTCTGGCTATAATCTCTATGGATGGTAAATATCGATGTATTCTACAATAGACCATGCTTACGTTTTCACTATAGCCTTGATGTGGCATAAAATTTACCTCCTTAGCTGTCCGCAGGTGCTTAGCTGTCTGAAGAAGGAAGCAAAGTGCTTCCTGCGTAAGTATTATACGAAGTCTCAACTACGTGCAGTTGATCACGTTTGCACGCATTAACTGCCGGAATTAATTACAATTTCCTTCCAAGAAGCTTTGCGCCAAATATACTTTTAATTATTCTGTCGTCGTTTGAGGACCCAAAGGTATAATAATGACATTTATTTTCAGTGTTATTTTAATAATGTTATTTTTTAATATATGTATGTCAGTAGTATGTACGCAGATCATTTACGTGTACCAGAAAAAGAGCTGTGGGTAGGACAAATCCTTCAGGTAAACATAGTTCCACAAAGAGGTGTGAAATCCTGTTGAGTGGCTAACAAGATTTTCATACAAAAATGGTCGTTGTGTTTTTAGCTGGTGTCCGTTATGAAGTACAAGATAAATACACCAGATGACATTATAGTCATAGAAAAAGTTGGTTTTAAGTCAGATGCCCAAATTCCGGAACTTTTTTTTCTTGAATGTGTAAGCCTTTCACAGTTTGTTAAATTGATACTTGGACCCGGAACTCACTCGATCAGCGGTCAGTGCATCGTGTTACATTTTTAGTTTCGGGTTCGTTTCCAGAACCAGTTACATACAAAGTAAAGCAAGAATGAGCAAACAAAATGATCTCTAAACCTGTTTTCGGAGCACGGCGTTTATAGAGAACAACTTTTCCAGATATCGAAAGTTAGTGCAAGCAGCATGGTGGTGCGGCTTAGTCAGGCGGATATTCACAATCTACGGTTGAAACCTACCCTCGGTAATTTGTTGTTCATTTAGCGAGCATCTCTGAACCTTTGTTTTTGTAAACCAACCAAGAGACAAAAACGTCAATCAACAACTTTCTGTTTCCAGCGACAAAAAAGAAGGATAAAAATTACAGTGTACGCGTTCTTCCGTATTTGAACGATGATTTAGTGGCGATCCTTAGATTTATAGACCAAGCTGCTCCTCCCGGCGACTTCAATGAATAATAAATTGAAGATTTCGGTATTATTGATACTTTGGGTTTTCTTCACGTGATCTATGTCCGGGCACGAATTGAAAGCCTTTTATTAAAACATATATTACGACGCGGCACGCTTCTGACACTGAATAATACTCGCCTTGTTGGTACTGTTCTTTCGCTGACTCACTTATTGCACTAGCATTATTTATAGTACATTGTCACTTGGTTTTGCGTAAAATATTGTAAATTTATTGAAGAAAGGGACACTGAAATATATTTTTATGGAAATAGGATAGTATTAATATCGAGTTCTTAGGTTTTGTCGATTGTTACACATAGGAATTGAAACTATTTTTCCGGATTTAAATTGTTTTTTCACACAAACCGACGTTTCGGGCCCTTTACAGGATAGTATTAAATTTAAAACAACCTGAAAAAATTAAAAATAAGTTTGGTTAAGGTTAACAAATTAAATTTACATTAAGTTAATTGATTTACAACATTACGTTTACTGCTATGCGAATAACGGTTAAATTCACTGGGTCCATGGAATTTCATTCCAAATATCTTCCAAATTTCTTGGAACCTCCTCTTGAGAATTATATTTCTGGAACGAGGGTGCGGTTCTATAAAAGTCGCCAATTCTCATAACAGTTGTCAGCTTGTTTCATCTAATTCTAAGTTACACAAATATGTGGTAGCGTCCTTCGCAGAAAAGTGCTTTAGTTTCAAGAGGATGACATTCATGGCAATATATTGTCCTTGGTTAAAGAAATAGGAATAGGGTTATCTTGCATTACATCAAACTCCTTAGAACTGAGTTGCGAAACTGTACGTAAAAATTCGTACTGAAGAACGCTCTCGCGACGGCGGTAATACAAACAGATGGTAGTAGGGTTAAAACTTGCCCCGCATGTAAAATTAGTTAAATAACTCCCAAGGACTTCTCGCTCTCTATGTGGAAACACGTCTTTGCTTTAAGCCGAGCAAATTAGCCTAGCAAACTTGGGTACATTAGCCATTTTATAAATTAATTTACCTGCTGGGCTTCATTGTGAAAAAAAGTTTCTATGGACGCATGTTTGCTTTATTCGTATTCGGGAGTTTGCTTAAGAGCTATGTTAGAGGTTCTATAGTTAATTTTGTTTTTTTCTCTACATGTACGCCATCATCATTAAGTCTAACGTCTACCAAATCAGAGCTGAGAAGAACTTTGTTTCAGCAACCAATAGTATTACGAACCACGTAATAATTTTATGATACCAAGCGACTGGACGAAGAAGTCGTGCACCTGGTGTTAAACAACACGCCTGTCGATAGTAATCGCAGTGTCACTCAGTGCTTTACATCACAAAGATCTGAGGAGATCAGTTGACAAATCTCTTGTGCCTGTAGCACATGGCACTTGTCCACTATAGATAGAAATATAGTTTCTTCAATTACAATAGCTAGCTAAAAACTAGAATTGTCTGCCTGTTGGGCTACTCTGAAATACAACTTGACTTCTTTTTAAAGTGCCTCGTCAATTATTGAAGGTTGGATGTTTTTGAAGCTTAGTATATCTGTTCCCATACCTGGCGAGACTAAACAGTTGGGCGGCACTCGCAATCTCAATCGACTG